AAAGAAAATAATGGAGTTCCATCACCCCTCAATTCAAGGATATTGAAATGAGATCATGAGGCACCATTGACACCACCGATGAAAGAAAAGATCGTGACAACGAATGGGTTGCATCAATAAGTTGAGCCAGATGGGTTTAGACTAGGGCTGTAACAGTGGTCTCTTTGGTCGATGGGCTCAGTAGCGTAGGGAAGGGGGGGGGGGGGTTTAGGGGGTTAGAACCCCCCCTTGGGCTTCCCGGACAGTGGCACTGACAGGCATATTTCAACCTTCTTTGGGAATTCCAATTTTAGCTATGCCCCTTCGAGGAAAGTCCTATATCCATCCACAGACCCAAGATGCCAGACCACGATTTCTTCAAAAATGTAAATTCCGGGTGGTGGAGCTAAGCTTAGCGTTGGGGTGTCTACCTGACCTCAACCAGGTGTCTACCTTTGCCGATTTTCTGCCTACGCCACTGGGTGCTGGTGCCGATTGTGAAAAGTAAATAAAAAGCTGAAATCCATTATATCAAATTCTCATTTAAAGAAACCAATTATGAAGTCATGTTCTACTTATTTTTTGGACTCTCGCGATGGCTGTTGTAAAAGCGTAGATGCATCGACCTGAACTATTGCTTGTGCATCGATGAACCACGTTGAGGGGGAATGAGGGATGACCACCATCGCAATGGGGGAAAAAAGTCATCGATGCTTCCAACTGTCCATAGTGACATCGACGCATCTTGACCAGCCCTACTCTTTGGCTTTTCCTGTTGAATATCATTTACCGTGGTGCATTCTAGGGTTTATTTTCGTTATGTATGTCCTTCTTCGGGCGTCGGCATCGGCAGCTTGCAAACCTACCGATGGCCGATAGCACCGATGTCGTATGGAATCCAGTCACTGGTCACAATTGTGACCGTCACGAGGACGATAGTTGGCGAAATTCTTTGAAAGGCCCTTTCTCTTCAAATGTTTGGTGATTTTTTTCCCTGGTAAACTCCTTCTAGGCAGCACCCTCCCCTCACCGATTTATAATTTGGTACTAGGTGATGCTTGACTCCTACAACTTTCATTCATGTAATCGAAAGTACAACAAAGCCTATTTTGGGAAAACTCACACTGGAAGTTAATGGAGACTGGATTAATCCTAGTACATTGCTATCATTAAAAATATTGCACCAAGAATGGGTTTCCCGGAACCCCAAAAGTTTTCAAAAAAATTTAAAATCTTAAAAGTCTTTTTTAAAAAAATTGCTTAAATACACACTTTTCAAATGCATCTAGTTGCACGTGCTCTCAGTAGTACCGACTTTAGTTTTGGTCCCTGAGAAAGAGGAATCAGGTGAAACCTCGTGCTTGTTGGTGCTGTCATCTTTTAGAAACATCGGTTTTCTCATGATATTTGGCATCAGCCGTTTGAAATTCCGCCTCCATCCTTTCACTTTCGCAGCAATGCCACTCACCCTTTCGGCACTATTTCGGTGAGAGTTCTTTCGATTTTGGCAGCACCGGGGAATCTTCTGTTTCTGGTGACGGCATAGGATCGAGAGTTTTAACATCATCCAAGAGATTTACGGTGAATAAAACCTCTAAAAATAAAAAAAACCGCTACTTTCTAGCGGTATCAGCGTTTTACGTTCGGCCGCATCGACACACCAGACCTCATACTTCAATGCTGCTGATTTCCTAGAACTTTTCAATGCTGCTGCCATTAAACATCACCCTTACAGCCCTGATATAACATCATGCGAGTTTTTGGTATTTCCAACATTGAAAAGAAGTCTACGCGGCGAGCGTTTAGGCACAGATTAAGAATTGAAATTTAAGAAAACCGACTCCTTGCATAAATTGTCACAAGCCACACAAGACCCGCTACGAGTTTTCCAAAAATAGTCGAAGCGCTAAGAAAGGTGTACAGCCTGAGGATGTCGACACTTCGAAAAGGAGATCGTCGCTGAAGTGCCAGATATTCCGCAATCGAAGTTAACCTTTATCGGACGAATGTCTCATATATCAGACGCCAAAGGTAAGCGCTATGGGAGAAGCGAATGATATCATTTCCTCCTCCTACAAAAATGAGAATTCCAAACCACATTCGAAAATTATTGATTCCAGATTTCTACTTAAGCTCATGTTACCTTCCCCTGCTTCATTCGTTCAAAAACAGGACTCACTTGAAAATGACATTTTATAGGTCGATGAGAAATAAATTGTCTTTTAAAGGTTAAAGCCAGTCCGGAAACTTTTCAATATCCCCTCGTACATGGCTCAATTTTTGTTTTCGGACCTTTGGCAGATGGGTTTTCCTTTCAGCCCTTAAATCACTCCCGTAAAGACGAAAGTGCGGCGCATTAATACTTCACTCGATAAGTAGGCCTACCTCTACACACTACAGTTCATTTTGAATTTTGAAAAAAAGTTGCTTCGCGCCTTTCTTCACTCCAATAGTGTTGGCCTCGGAACACTTCACACTCGATCAGAAACACTTGACGCTCTTACCATCAGCTGCAACTGCAGGTAGCAGGTAGTCACATCTGGCTTTTCCCCACAGAATGGAATTTCTGATACACTTGAACTTGTCCTTAGCGTAGTCGAGCATATAATTCTACAGGGTGTCCCATAAGTCACTATACCATTCCAAAAAATGCCCTCTGCTTATATCAATACGGTTGGCGTGAGGCTCAGCACCAAAAAATCTCAGAACTCCCTTTGAACTCTGATGGGACTCTCAAAGACCCCATCCAGGATGAAACTTTTCTTCATTGCTCCAGCGTCAATTGCGACGTCTTTTCTCATGGCAGTGAAAGCCAATTAAATAAAATAATATTTATGTTTCTCAAGTCCATCTGAAATTAGGAGAGAAATACATAAAGTTTAGCAATTTTGTAGAAGAGGATTCAGCAAGGAGTACGGGTCATTCCACGTCAGATCGACCAGAGATTTTGGTCGACCATCACCGATTTCGCTGAAATTTGGTGAGGAGGTAGCGTTTGGTCCAAAAGCGGGAAATCCAAAATATTTTTTTTTTTCTGACCAAAAGTGGGTCCGTAGCGAGGTCGCAAAATTTTGACCTTTTTTAGCTGGTCAGGCTGACCTCTATCGGACTTTCTTCAATAACTCCTTAGCTATTTGTCATAGAATGTTCATTTAGGACTCCTTTTAAAGGTCTCTTTTGACCCTATATTGTTTATTTATTTCAAGCTTATATTCTCATATACTAATTTTTTATAAAAAATCAAAGGCGTTTGACCTTTGACCCTTCATATAAAAAATATATAATGTTTAAATTTCACCAAATTTACAAGGTAACACGAGAATAATATGGTAATGAAGCTCGCAAATTTTCAAGAGGATGTTTTGCCCCAGTCTCGAGATATGTGTCAAATTGTGCTTTACATATTCCGTTTTTGAGTGCATTAATTACCGAAAGGATCAACA